TAGCGACGCCGCGGTGGGTGAGGTAGGAGGATCAAGTAATGCACGTCAACCCATGGCTACTGGACAGCCCCAGACAATCCAGCAAACAACTCGACAACAGCAGATGCAAAATCGAGTATCCAACGAGGAGGCAGCAGAAATGGCAGGCAGAGCAGCCGCCGCCGTTGTACGAAGACAAGTACAACAACAGCAGCAACAGCAACAACAGCAACAGCAACAACAGACACAGCAACAGCAACAGCAAACACAGCAGCAACAACAGCAACAGCAACAACAACGACAGAACCAGCAACCACAACAGCAACAGCAACAGATACAGCAACAGCCGCCACAGCAGCAGCAGCGACAACAGCAGCAGCTCTCATACACAACCACCAATCAACCGGGACTACCGACATCAGCTTCTATCCCCAAAACTCACTCCATCACGCACCCCTTACTTGGCCAGCCGATTCAAGATGTGGCCGGAAATAGGCCAGATGAACAGCAATGGCAATTACAAAACAGACGGACGCATCGTGGAAACCCAATTCTGCCCACCGACCAACCTGTGCTGGGCAAGCATGCGGACAAACCAACGTCACGCACGTCATCTCCAGGGGTCAGTCCCCAACACAAGAGGAGGGACTCGGTAATAAGCCCGCCCAGGTTTCATGTTCTTCCACATGACGACCCGGGTGACCTCATGCAAGTCGGCGAGGAGGAGGAAGTGAGAAATATAGTAGTAGTCCGCGGGAATGGGGATACGGAAATACCCCCTAGGTAAATGGGGCGACGGACAAGATGCAGGAGGCCTAATAATAGACCCCTTCGCATAGCGTCCCATAATGTAGCAGGTTTATTCACGCATTCGGCATTTACTCGTATCCATGCTGCGGCTAGAGTATGGGCCCAACATAGGTTAGATGTCATTTGTTTACAGGAGACACATCATATGGGAGATGGAGACCTGACAATTCTCACTAGAGAATTGCAATTCGCGGCTCAGAAAATAGGGATACCGGGATGGGATATAAGAGCACAATCCCCCACGACCAATGCCCGGACGGCTGGAGTGTTAGTGCTAGTGCGCAAAGATCTTTATCGCGACTTTAAAATAATACAAACACCGGCACGACTACTTCCGGCTAACATTCCCCAAGGCCGTAGCGCGTCGGTTTCGTTCACGTGGTGTGGTCACCGTATTCATTTGATTAATTTGTACCTCATGACATCTAGTTACTCGATAGATCAGAGGAAGGCGTGTGTGCATTCTCTTGGCGATGTGGTAAATAGGATAGGACAGGATGATCAGTTGCTTTGGGCTGGAGATTTTAATTTTGTCCATAATCCGATGCTAGATTCCACCACAGGAGAAGGGAGTAGACCCGCGGACTTATCCTTAGCCAAGGCTTTCTCCGAATGCTGCCCGGATATGGTAGACACATATCGCTACCTCCACCCTACCCGTCGCGACCTTTCGTTTTTCTATAAAACAAGTGTGTCGGGAGGGTCACGTCTTGATCGAATCTATACTTCCACAAACCTCACCCCCTTCATCGCTTCCTCTACCATTCCAGTGTGCACTTCGACAGACCATCGTTTAGCTATTATTGCTCTTTTACCTCGTCTTGTGAGAAAGCGTGGTCCAGGCCTTCCAAGGCTACACACGCATTTCTTAGATTTTCCTGACTTGAAGGGAAGCTTCTTGCAATGGATTGGTGATGAGTGTGCGCAG